TGCCCAGATCAGCCTTTTGCCTGCAGGCTGAGGCTCCAGTGTTGGGGCATGCAGATCCCGGGGCTGCCCAGAGCTGGCTTCAGCCTGGCTGGGTGCAGAGGGGTGCTGGGGAAGGGGCTCCCTGACCCTGCAAGCAGCCGAGGTCCCCGTGCTCCATGTGTGACCAGCTGTCCAGCCCCGCCACCTCCCGAAGCAAGAAGCCTGTAGCCAAGGGAGCGGGGGTTAACCCCTTAGCTCCCAGGAGCTGCATGCCCAGTCTGGGCTGGGGCAGCATCAGGTATGCATGTGTGCCTCTCTTCTCTTCCCCAAGCAGGAAGCCAGAGCTGTTTCTCCAGTCTTCAGCTGTGCAACCGAGACTGAAGCCGCAGCATGAGATCTCAGCTGTGTGAGGAGGGGAGGGGCTGAGCTCCTGCCCTGTGTGCCAAGGGTAATTGGCTGGTGTGCCGCTTGTCACGTGCTGGTGGTTGCCAATCAAGACAAGAATCACAAGAAATTAGATCTCTTTAGCAGAAAGATCTACTCTTCTTCCACACTGCAACTGAGAATTGCAAATGACTTCACTCTTTTGGCAAACCATGATTTTGATAACTATTCAAAATTGGGGGATCTCATGGAACACCTCCCTGGATCAAGAAGACCTGTTCTAAAAGCAATAGTCCATGAGAGCTGTACAATCGTTTGCACTGCCGTACAAACTGCACTGGATGTCGCAGATACTGTGGCTAGGGCAACAGCTACAGCAGTGGTAATACACAGGGGTCCTGGCTACAGGCCTCTGGTATTCCCCCGGAACATCAGTTCAAAGTCGAGGATCTATCATTTGACAAATTGAAATTGTTACAGCTAAAACAGATGAGGTTCTGCACGGTAGTAAAGATTCAAGAACCATGCTCTGCACTCTGGGCATATACACCATGCCCTACAGATGTAAACGATACACCCCCTATAACTGCAACAAATATGGACAATATAACTGACTGCCACAGAGACCCTATGAAGACATCTGGCCAAGTCAACGGGCATAGAGAAGATGCTCCAACCAGGGCTGCCCCTCTACCAACCAAACCACAAAGCAGCAGATTGGAGGCTGTGGTCAAGGGTCTGGAAAATCTCCCTCACAATCCAATGCAACACGGCCATCTTTTAACTCACTACTTGCATCCCTTCTTAACGCAGTGGGAGTTGATAACATCAGACCCGTGGGTGCAGAAAATAATTTGCGTAGGATACATTATTCCCTTTAGCTCATAATACCGTCTACATGTTTTGTTTGGTAGCACTTTAAAGACTTAACAAAACATGTAGACGGTATTATGAGCTAAAGGGAATAATGTATCCTACGCAAATTATTTTCTGCACCCACGGGTCTGATGTTATCAACTCCCACTGCGTTAAGAAGGGATGCAAGTAGTGAGTTAAAAGATGGCCGTGTTGCATTACCTTTCTACCACGATACTCACCTGCCTCTGATGGGGCATATGGTTGCAACTACTTTAACATGGTCTGTCATGCCCATTTGCACTTCCATTGGTTTCAACTTTGGATAGCAACCGTCAACCTCCCATCTCAACACTCTCGAAACTAGAGAGTTACCATATCTCCGGACATTATCACATCTCTATGATGATGGACATTAGTGGACAATCTCCTGTCAAGGGTTCTATTTCACCAAACCGAGGCCACGGTGCAAATTACTACAGACGCATCTCTGCTAGGCTGGGGAGCCCATCTGACCAACCAAGTGGTCCAAGGCAAATGGTCTCCACATGAGATGGCATTGCACATCAATCTGCTGGAGCTGAGGGTATCAAGAAATGTGTGTTCACGTTTTGTGCCCAGAATTGTTAGTTGTGCAGTTCAAATCCTTACAGACAACATCTCCATGATGTCCTATTAATGCAGAGACATACTTCAGACTCCTAAACCTCCCCTTTAAATGCTGAAAAGCACATTCAACTACCACTCTGCATTTGCTCAGCCAGTAGTTGAACTACTCTTTACTTTGGTCCAGGCTACCTGTGTGCAGTGGCTTCATGAGCCATCGGAGCAAGAGGTAGGCTGGGTCACCAAGGATCACTATTGGCATTTCCACCTCTCTGATTCTGATTCTCCAGTCTGGGGGGAAAAGTTCCAACTTGCATCTTTCTGATGAGCTAAGAGTTCTTAAAGATGTGTGTGTCATGCACCTTTCCTGACCATCCTGCATGTCAGTGAAATGGTCTTTTTGATTCACCAGTGCCTTCAGTTGTCTCAAAGTACCCGTTGTGGTTTATGTACTCTTTAAGGTGGTCAGGTGCCAGAATGGGGATGTGTGTTCTATCAGCTAACCACAGTTACGGAACCCGAATGTGGCAAAGCCCTTCACTATTGTATCCACATTTCCCAGAGTTACTACTCTTTGTAGCAGAATGGTATTGATTGCTTTGTCTACTTGTATATCAGTAGCCCCCACTGCAGATTTCCCCTCTTCAAACTGATTCCTAAGTGACCGATAGCTGTTTGGTGTTCCAATTGCCACATGCTTCTCCATTGTCAGAGCTGGTCTCATTTAGGTCCCTGCACTTCAGGGCAGGGGAAAGCCATTCTCTACGTTTCATGAAAGTGGCCTTGAGCATTTGGAAGTTTTGCAGCCACTGCGGATTGTCCCATACTTGCAGCACTATATTGTCTCTCCAGTCTGTGCTGTTCTCATGGCACCACAACTGGGGTTCCACTGTGTCCAGAGGATTGAATGCTGGGGAATTTCCAAATCAATCAGTGCAAGGGCTTGCCTGTGCAGTGTTCCCGTGGCACCTTAGATGGAGGCGATTCCTCCTTTTTCCTCTTCCTGGAATGCTGTGCTTACACTCTCGAAATACTGTACCATGAGGCACATCAAAGTAGACACCAACATCACAATACTTTGATGCACAATGGGATCCACGAGGGAAGTCATGCTTGCATTGCGATGGCATCTGCATGTGTAACTGAGGCCAAATAGGGCACAAAAAACTATTTCCCGTTGAGCTCAAGTAGGGGGAGGAGAGAGTAGATGCGTGCATTATGAATCACTGCACAATTTTGGTCCCAGCATGCACCAAGAGCATAACACAGAATGCAAAGCAGTGCAGGCACTGTGGGATAGCTACCCACAGTGCACCTCTCTCAGTCCATGGCAGTCTCCCTACTGGGGCTGCATTACTTTGAAGTATGTTGAATTCTTTTGCCCATGGGAACATAGACCTTGGGCTTTACAAAATTGGGTGGCAAGAAATCAACCTTAGTAAATTTGGGCTTTATCTTGTAATGTGCCCTAAGGATGAGGCCATTCCAGAAGTCTCCTAAATTTTGTTGCCAAAGTGGACAGAATTCAGCGATAGCCCATCTCTACCCAGAGAATCTCAAAGTGGGTCTCAGGGTGCATTATGATGTGCTTTCAGTTACTGAGCCAGTACCCACCAGGCAGGATATGGGCCCATTTTATAAGTGTGCAAGCATCAACTATAGCCGTGCTCTATGACTTGCTCTTACAGACATATATGAGGTGGCCATGTAGAGTTTGGTACATACTTTTTCTTCTCACCATGCCCTGGTGTGAGATTTCACGACAGATTCCTCGTTTAAGGACCTTCCCTTAAACTGTAGGTTTGGTTTTCTTTGAGATATGTGGTCTCTATCTATATTCTAATCTTGCCCTCCTCATCTGATGAAGATCTGGTAGATTTGTGGTAGAGAAAGAACTGAAGGCACAGTCGGTCTGGTCCACCCCACCCTTATTGCCTCCAGTGAAACCGTGAAGTGGTACAAAGGCACATGCATGGATTGATGTACATTTATTACTTTGAAACACTCTGGGCATATAGGGCATGTGTATCATGCTCAGTGGCATACAGGTAGGGACCACATACCTTGAAGTATCTCCTGCTACAGATAAGTAACCTCCCTTTCTGCATAACTTTTTTCATTGCATGGTGACTCAATTCCTACAAGACTAAATGAAAAGTTACTTACTTCATTACTACTCCAGTGTTTCCTGACTAGTGTATGGCTGTTGACATCAGACTTAAAAACCCATGAGCTTTCCATCTCTGCGGTAAAGTCATTGGTTCATGTGCTGATCACCTCCAATGACAACTGCAACTTCTTCCTCTCTCTAATCTTTATGCTCACTTTGTTAGTTCATTTACAAATGCCCATCTCAGAATAGTCTTTCTTGCCTCGCAGTTGCTTTGACTAAATTTATGAAAATCTTTTAGTTAATATTTTTAAAAAATCCTTATTACTGCTACCTCTACCTTTGAGTCACTTTACTGTATCCACGTTGAATTTTGCATCAAGTTCGGACTTATTGTCTCGACTTTTTTGTGGACCTGTATTATACAGCCATCATTTCATTGTTTCCTTTCACATTCCCTTCAGTCTGCTCTGTTTTGTGCCTTGTTTGCCTGTCTCCATCTTCAGCTCTTGACTCCATATTCAAGGTCACCAGCCTTGAAATCTTTTTGGTTTTTGCCCATGTATGTCTGTGAATGCCACATACTGCTTTTTATACTTGAAATGGCCTTCCAAAATATGTTTGGTCAAGTCTACACCCTTACCTCATTCCCATCATTCCTAAAACAAATATTTTCCCCAACATTGCCTCGAAAAACAAATGTATTTATAGTTACAAAAAATTAAATCAAATAACCTCTACACAATCAACAGCTGTGTGACCCAGTGAGATTTTAATAATCTTATTTTTGCAGCCTGTGGTCTCTGCAGAGCATTCCTGTTGGATGTTAGATCTTCATTTGTCTATTAAGTCCAGTTGGACTATATAAACTGCTGTATAGAGGCTTGTCACCCTTGTATTTTTGGAGTGGTGCCTAAAACATATGAAGGTGGTCTGAAATAAGCAATAAAGGAATCACTAATGTATATAAGGTTAATGTCTAGTGTACCTTGTAAGTTCCCATTTTGCTTGAACTAACACACTCTCTCTCTCTCTCTCTCTCTCTCTATTTTTTTTTAAATTGCAGATTGAGAGCCATGCCTTTAGTTAAGAGGAACATTGAACCTAGGCATCTCTGCCGAGGAGCCCTTCCTGAAGGAATTACGAGTGAACTGGAATGTGTAACCAATAGTACCCTCGCTGCTATTATACGACAACTTAGCAGTCTAAGTAAGTATAGTTTTGAGCTTTTGTTTGCTAATGAAAAATAGAGTAGCTCAAAGGCGTTGTTTTGTTTTAAATGGACAAAATATCATTTAAAAACTTTGATTTGCAAAGTGTATAATACTTCTGCTCTTCTATACTACTTTCATCTTCAAAGGTCTGTGCAAACAAAATCTCTCTAAGGTAGCTAGAGTTTAAATGTAGAAACTGTGACAGAGAGAGTAAGTGAACTTGCCCTAGGCAATAGAAATAAATGTAGAAGCCAAGATTAGAACATGAATCATGAGTTCCTGGCAAGTCCCTTGCTTAGTCTAGCACACTTGGCAGTAGATGGCCATAGGAAGTTGGTTCAATTTGTGTTTTAGGGAAGTTATTTTTTTCTTACGAGTCTGTTTTCTTTTACATGCACATGACGACATGTAAATACTAGTGGGAATTAAGCACGAATATCAGAAAGAGGATCCCTTTGTAAACAGAATGACAATAAATAAAGTTAGGGTAACTTTAGTTAAGAGGCTATTAGGAAGTCTAGGATTTGATAACTAAAGAGCTTCAATTGTTGCATATTTTAGAAATTCAGATAATTATAGCATTTACTTTAGCTATAAATTAAATGTTAAATTTTAGACTTTTCTGACAAACAAAAGGTTTCATGAAGTAATAGATGCAGATAAAACACCTACTTAAAAAGTCTGATATCTCTAATTTTCCAACATCATTAGATGATGACATTAGATATTATTCTTTTGAACTTAAATTTATTAAGACCATAAGAATGGCCATACTGGGTCAGACCAAAGGTCCATTTAGTCCAATATCCTGTCTGCTGACAGTAGCTGATGCCAGTTGATTGAGGGAATGAACAGAACAGGTAATCAAGTGATCTATTCTCCCCATCTCAGCTTCTGGGTTAGGCTAAAAGGGGTAAAAAACAAGAGTGATGTCATGCTAGGGGTCTACTAGACCACCTACCCAGGTGGTAGAGGTGGATGAGGCTTTTTTTAAACAACTAACAAAATCATTCAAAGCACAGGATTTGACAGTGATGGGGACCTTCAACTATGCAGACATATGTTGGGAAACTAACACAGCAGGGCACATCGCAGATTAGTGGCATTCTGTGTAATAGCAGGACTTGAGCCAGTCGGTACCCCTGCATTGGATACATTGCAAGATAAATTTAGTTTATAAATTCACTAGCACATTTACCTGGCATTGCTTGGGTCCTTAACTCAATTTTTGTTTTTTGGAAAATAAAATGAAAATGTACATGCTTCATTTAAATCATTGCTCTGTGGTGGGGCTGGGGATGAAGGGTTCAGTATGCAGGGTGCCTTGGGGGGAGAGGACAACCTCAGCCCTCCCTCATGGCAGAAGCTTGGGGCCAGGTGAGAAGCATGTCTCCATGGCCTCTGTAGCTCCAACAGTTTCAGCCAGGGGAGGAGTGCATGTCCCCTGGCTGGGGCAGGTCCAGATTCATCTGCCCTCTGCACGTCCCAGCCAGAGGGAAGCATGCAGCAAATTGTGCACTTGCCTTTCTCTGGCTGATGAAGGGGAACAGCCAGCAGTGTGTCCCTATAACTCAGGAGAGAGAGAGGGAGGGAGGAAGGAAGCTTCGGGCCCCCCTTCCTTCCCTAAAGGGTGGTGGGAGGCTCAGGGCTGGGGCAGTCGTGGACCAGGGGGCACCTTCAGTGAGCTTGGTGATTCTGTCTCTTTTCTGTACAGTTTTATGAGAAGCAATCCCATTCTAGGCACATCCCGTTTTCCTGGTACAACAAATTGTTTCTTTGATCTCAGTTATAAGAGGAGGCTGTATTGCCAAATTTGGTGAACCTAATTCTTAGGAAAATGTAGGAAAAGTTCTTGAACAGACAAACTCTCTCAAATATATAGTAAATTAATGTATTGAAAATATTAAACTAAATTGCTAAGTCTGCATTCTTTTTATCATGTTTAAAAGGATAAAATGTGTTTTGATTTTCTTGCTGCCTTTCTCCCATTGTTTACCATCTATATTTAATATAGGCTTCCACAGTTAGAAAAAGAGTGCTTCAATTAATGCATTGAAACCCTCTACTTTGAAGTCAACATGAATACTAGTAGCATATTAGCAACTTCAGGCACAGCAAAGAAACACTATTTTTTCAATCTCTGATACTTTCATTAATAAGCTAAAAGAAGATAGTCTTCTGTAACTAACACTGATAGGTTTTTACTCCTCAGGCTCATCTTTATCATTGATTTGTTTTTCTGTATTGAGTACTAATCATTTTCATTAGTTACATAAGGTAACTTCAGAGACATTTTATTCAGTATGTTAATACCAAGATCAACTACAGACTATGAAAACTTTGTGGACAGATTTTTTGCAGAATTTGAGAGAATACCATGATATGTATTTTATGAAGCGTAATAGTGATCTTTTGAAAAGATTTAAGTGTATTTTGCAAGCCATATTGTCAAGTAGAGTATAATGTGGAGTAGTGTTAGGATGATACTTGGAAGTGTAGGGAGGAACAGCTCTTTGGTTCATCCATATTATCACAGTAACTTTAAACATGAAGAGGAAAAGATTTTCATTTTATCTATCTTCTTGAGATGGGGAGGAGTTCCTGAAATTAAGGAGTAACAGATCCCTCTGCTTGTAAAACCATTGACCCAGAAATTGTTTTACCAGGTGGTGATCAGCAGTAAGTTAGCGTTCTATAATCATTCATTTTTAGAGCAGGAAGTGCAGTTGAAAATTATTTTTAATGTTTAAAATAGAAAGTTATTCACTTTAGAGATGGTTAATAATCTCTTCAACCTCCTTTAAGTGACAAACTGATACTTAAATCATACATTACTTTTCCTCTTTTAAAGCACTTTGTAAACTTTAGCTTTTGAGTTAGCTAAGGCATCAGAGGGAATGAAAGTCAGTCTGTAAAAGACTGTTAAGGGCCTGGGGAAGCATAGTGGTGCAGTTTCTCCCATACAGACAGCATCAGTAAAACACAAACTTTTTAACATTTTCCCCTAGTTCTTCTAGTTGTAAAGATAATCTTCTGAATGTGAACAGATGCAGTGTTGTCTTATTAAAACTATAAATACACTGAAGCAATAATGAGCTGCAAACAGATAATTCTGAAGCTTGAAGATGAATAGAGGCATTGATAAGTTTGTTTCCTTTGTTTTTTCCTGATACTTATGACTGTTTGTCAGCTATCTCCAAGACACGTTTTTAGGGGGAGAGGGGGCAGACAAAGGTGGAGCATTAAGCGGAGCTGGGGTGTACCTCTGGAACTAGCTCATCATGTTATCTACAGATTTTGACACAACATTTACAGGAGGTTCTACTGCTAGGAAGTCCCTACCCCCTTAGAAAAGTGAGAAAATAATATCAGACTATTGTACATTTTCCCTCATCCCTATTCTGTGAGAATCACTTGTCACTGTTAAATTAAAGTCTGTCTTTCCTAAATGAAGAGTCCAGGAAAAGGGAGGTGCTCTCTCACAATTCTATAATGCAGACATTTTTACTGTCCAGCAGTAGATTCCAAAGCAGCCAAAAGGATTTCATTGAACAACTCGGCAGTCAATATGCAGTATTGAAGGGCATGTTTGGAATGTCCTTAATTAGCCATGTGTACATTTAAGCCTGGTTATTGGGCACAATTTAAAACCTTAATATAACCCTACCATTACTTGCTACTCGCTCTTGTTCAGATGATTTAATAAATATACTAAATTACACCTAATTTACTGAGGCTCACTGCTATTCTTTGGATTGGCTCTGGAACCTTTAAAAGATAGCAATAACATTGGCTAACATGGAGTTTTCAGCACAGAAATGAATTTTAGTGATTGCATGCTTTTGTTAGCAGCTCGGCTACTCAAGGAGATGGTTTAAGTTTATTTTGAGCTGTCTGACCATTTGCATTGCATCTAACTGTCTGAAAGTAATACTGCATTGCTTAGGTGTGTAGTACATCAGTATACTGTAATTCTGTTATGAGTGTTTAATAATATGCCATCGAAGCTCTGTTCCTTGTATTTTTATAAGTCTTTAACAGATGGCATTCTCTGTTTTTCTGTACAGGCAAACATGCTGAAGATGTATTTGGTGAGTTGTTTAATGAGGCCAACAACTTCTACATCAGAGCAAATTCTCTTCAAGACAGAATTGATCGTCTTGCTGTCAAAGTAACCCAGCTGGATTCAACAGTGGAAGAGGGTAGGTAATTGCATAAAAGCACTGAACTAGAAGTGATGTTGACAAGGTCACAGTAATTAATTACACAACAATCAGTACTTTTCCTTTGGAATAATGCTGAGCTGATTGTTCATCATGTTTACTAGGAGAGCTTCATTTTTGAATCTCTTAACTCTTTTCATATTTGATTTAAAATTTTAGTTTTTGAGGACTTTGTGACATAAGAGACATAACTCTGAAGAGATGTAACTCATAACCCTAAGACATAACTTTACACTCATGAATGTCATCTTAATCTAGTCATCACAGATAAATTGTAAAACTATGAAGTTTGAGTGGTCTTGCAAGTGAGTGTTGATGTTTATTAGCAGTGTGTCTCCAATATCATTGTCTCTCATCTATGCTATTATCATCCTCTTTCACTAATGAAAGTGGAGAGTTGACTAGCTAATACATTACAAACTTTGTATCATCAGAGACTGCACTTCCTTGGATAAAGCCGAAGTTACAACATGACTTGTTTATGTATATAATTACAAAATTAATGACTATATTGATAGTCATCTAAGATTTAATATACATTAAAAACTTAAGACCCATACTATTGGAAGCACAAAGTGCATTAAATAATTTAAAAAACATATTTATTCCTATGCCCTACCTTTTAAAAAAAGCTGAAATGTGCAAGCTTGCTTGCAAGTTCAATTTCCTAACATTGAAACACTTGGGTTTTTTATTTTTTAAATGATTCAATTCAAAGGGTCTATATCATTTGATGCTGGATTTATCTAGTCATAATGCTAACTGGGTATATTAAAAAAAAAGGATCTCTTAAAGAATTTGACTTTAAATATTAAAAATAATTTTCATATTTAATTTAAATATTATAAAATTAGGATATATGTTTCACTTATGTGCCAGGCAAAGGATACTTTTGAGTTGAATTAAAGGAACTTGCATACTGTGGATTTGCAGCTGTAATCAAACACTTGCTTTGGGAATTGTACTGTTCCTCATGTGACAGGGTCTCAATCTTGAAACTGGATTTGCCAGAAGAATCTAGTGTGAAATATAAATCATTTTTTGCATGTCTTCAGTGAGGGTATTACGAAGGCAGACCATGTCTGAGGCAGCCTAGTCAGGGCTAGACCTATATGTTTTACCCCCTAACAGCCAAACAAAACAACAATTTGGTCTCTCTTCCCAGATGCATTAATTTGGCACTCAAGCTAATCATCCTGATTGCTCACCTCTAATGCCAGCTCTGAATCTAGTCAATTGGAACCAATCAAGCTGGCAGGGCAAATTGCCAACTTCTCATTCAGACCACAAACCTTATCTCGTCTATTTTGATTAGCTCTACTTCTGAATGGGTAATGTGTCTGCCTGTTTTTAATGGCCAACCACGAGAGTTTTAAGCAGCTGCTGAACATGTTCCCTTGACTGGAAGAGCACAGCAATATAATATGGATGTCCGATCAATATCACCCTGATATTTAAGGTTCCCTAAAATTAGCAAATGATTTTACAAACTTATATATAGCTGAGGAGATTGGAAACATGAAGCTTTTCACATCGAGACTGCTAGTGACTCAAAGTACTTCCATAGGATGGCTGCTTTATTTTCAGGTGCTCCTGCACTATGTGTTTGAGACACCAGTCATTGCTGTAGTAAAATAGGAGGAAACTAGAGCAAGTCTTTGATAAATTAGAGTACCTCAATCTTCAGGTCTTTCAATCTGGTACATTTTAGGAGCACAAAATTCATTTGACTTTTTTTTTTTTAATTAAAACTTTTTGTCAGCCCATTTATTCCACTGTGGATAGTTTCTGGTTAGCCTCTGAAACAGTAGAAACATATAGAGCAGCTTTTGTTTCAATGTTCATGGCTGTCTAGTAGGGATGTCAATGTGTAGACAACTATGCGATTAACCGATAAGCCTGAGTTTACCAGTTAATTTTGTCAACTCCACACACTCCCATTCCCTCTTTTGCTGCCTCAGTATCAGAGGCAGCAAGGGGGGGGGGAGGCAGGAGCCAGCTTTTAAGCCAGCTCCCCACATGTACCAGATCCTGTGGAGCTGCCCCCCACTCCGGGCTGCTACCTCTCATAGAGAGGCAGCAGCACAGAGGAGGGGGTAGAAGGAAGCTGGTAGACATGGAAAGCCAGCTGTTTACGCGTGTCAGCTCCCATGGAGCCACCTGCTCCCCTTCACTGCTGCCTCTGAGAGGCAACAGCGAGGGTAGGGGGGCAGGCGGGAGCTGATACATGTGGGGAGCTGGCTTTTAAGCTAGCTCTCCATGTATGCCTCAGAGCCACCTGCCCGTGGGACTCTGGGCTTCATGTGGTGCTGTCTCTTTGAAGTACCTCTCTCTCTTCCCCCTCCTTTTGCTACCTCCATCTAATAGAGGCAGCACTGGTGGGGGAAGTGACTAGTCGACTAGCCTGTTGACTATTTGAGAGGAATTCATAATGATCTAAATAAGCTAGGTAAATGGGCACCGTGATGGCAAATGAAATTACATGCAAGTAAATGCAAAGCAGTACACACTGAAGGGAAAAATCTAAACTCACTCATTTAAAAAGTTTCTAAATTAACTATATCAACTGAAGAACTGGACCTGCATGTCATTGTAGAGAGCTAAATGGGTAAGTCTACACTATGAGCTGTGGGTATGACTCCCAGCTTGAGGAGACCTATTTGATCTAGCTTTCATCAAACAGGTGTGCTAAGAATAGAGTACAGCCATAGCAGCATGAGCCACCTTAAGTACATATCTAGTTTCTCTGATGGGCACACACTCACGGTGGCTAGCCCCTCCTGCCATTCATGTGGCTGCAGCTCCTGTCTGTTTTTAGTGCAGTAGCTCCATGAGAACTAGTGGGAGTAGAGGTATGTTTGCATTGCAAAAAAAGACCCATGACAATGAGTCTCAAAGACTGAGTCAACTGATTGGAGCTCTTGGGTCTTGCACTATGGGGATAAAATTTGCAGTGCCGAGGTTCAGGCTCTGAAGGCTGAGAGGTGGGTCTGAGGGACTTGGCATCCCAAATGTCGATGCTGTTTTATGATCTGTAGTGTGAGCCAGAGTCAGTTTACCTATGCTCTTGTATTTGCGGCCATGGGTTTTTTTGCAGTGTAAACATAAGCTACATCTCTTTGAACTGGTAATCACATTCCCCAACTCAAAGAGTACACGTACCCAGTGAATGGAAAATTTCTGCTTATGGTTTAGCTGTGCTTAGGCTGCATAAAGAATGCGTTGGTGAGCAATATAAATAATGCCTTAAATATATTTAATATATCAGTAGTGTAGCCTCATCTAGGATATTTTGTAAAAATGTAGTGGTCAAGGACACTAGGAATGGTCAAGGAGATGGAAAAATGCTCATGTGGAGGAAGTATGAAAAGACTCACCTTTCACAGTCAGATAAGGCGAGATGTGACAAATATATTTAATGAATGATACTGAGAATGTAGATTGGGAACATCTATCTCATTCACAAGGACAAGCCAGTCTCTAAGTGTTAAGAAATCAGAGTGCGGCTCTCATACCTTTTGAGGCACCTGATGACCCTGTTGGAGATGGGGTGTGGATTAGGGATGTTAAATGGTAACTCTTAACGGATGATGCTTACTGGGTCCAGTTAACTGGTGGGGCCGGGCAGGGAGCTGCTTCACATGGTGTGCTGCAGGTGGGGGCTGCTCCGGCCCATCCAGAAAAACTGTTGTGGTGGACCCAAGTGGGGGACTCCCCCCTCTGCCTGCCCCTCTCCTTTAATCTGTTAACTGATCAAGCAATATGTGTAACTGGTTAACCAATTAAACAGGATTTTATATCCCTAATGTGGATTCAGTATGGTAATTCCTATTTTCTTGTGATGCATTGACATGATTTATCAATATAACTTGACTTTGCTACTACTGTACATATGAGTACCAAGCAGTTTGTTTAAATATTTTCAGATAACTCTTTAATGTTATAAAACTGAGATCTGATTTTTGGTTTATAGTAATATTAGAAAAAAATCCACAATTACATGGTTTTCTTTCTCTAATAGTATCATTACAGGATATCAACATGAAAAAAGCATTTAAAAGTTCAACAATACAGGACCAGCAAGTAGTTTCAAAAAATAGCATTCCTAATCCAGTGGCTGACATCTACAATCAGAGTGACAAACCACCTCCATTGAATATTCTTACACCATATAGGTATGACTATATTCAGTACCTGAATTCTGGGGCACTGTGCTATTCATCTCATTTAATTCTAGATACATCCTGGGTAGTATAGAATGGTGTGGGTAGGTAACTACACAGTAGAGATGCATTTTTGAATGGAAGGTTTTAGGTGTACCCTCATGTTTTGCGAGGTAGTGGTTGGGGTGACCCTTTACAAAATTCAAGGTGATAAAAAGTTAAGACAGAATAAATGATTTAGACTAAATTGTAGCAATTTATTAAGATCTAGGTGTTAATATTTTTGGTATTTGAAAAGTAATCCATAATATTAGCTTCATAGATTAGCTTTCTATTAAAGTGGAAAATGGCTTATTGGCTATAATATAACATAATTGGTTTTTTCAGTGTTTTGTATATGGAAGGAACTATAGAAATTATTGTATTAAAGATACACAGCTGGAACCTAGGACTGTGAGTGAGACCTACCCCATTTCTAAACCTCTCTTTCTTATTAGCTTTGGAAAAGTCACTTCATCTCTATCTTAATTTATCCATGTGCAAAGCAGTGTTGTAGAGTATTGCCATGCCAAATGACTCTCACCTGTGAGTGTGGCATAAATACCTAGACAGAGGAGCAGCAGTGGAAAAGGGACACTGTGTGCATATCTGTCAGGTACAGATAATTCCTTTTCACAATTCCTTGGGTTATTCCGGTAACATAATGGGCACTGCAGATTCCTATGGAGCAGCTTTAAAACTAAACATTATTTTATAGTTAATTGGTATTCCTCTGAATGTGGGAAAAAAACTGGTAAAAGGTATTTTCCCTATTAACAAGTACAGTACATTGATCTGAAAGTGCTTTTCATTCATTCATTCATTCATTCATTCATTCATTCATTCATTCATTCATATTGAATTGAAATGTCTCAAATTAACATCTGAAAGTGAACCTAAGAAGCGAGATGCGTAATTTTAGGGGCTATACAATATGGGGTGTTTTTGGGGCTTGTGCTGAATGGAAAACTGGATTTTCATACTGCAAAATAATTGTAAACTATTATATAGGGTAATTCCACTCCATGCCTACATTCTGGTTGAAATCATCCCATTTTAGAATAATTTAAATCTCAACCTAGTTGGTACTAGGAAATGGAAGTTTCATAAATACAGGAGAGTAAAGGAAGAATACCGTATTTACCATTTTATTCTGTTTATTTTGACTTTTGGGTGCTGTTGTTCTTTGTTTTTGTTACCTGACTTCCAGCAAATAAACACCATAATCAGGACTTCATTCTCTGATTTCTATTATTTAAAATGTCAGTTGGAAGAATCTCATTTTTAAGTCTTTCCTAGCTATCCTGGGAAATGCATTATTTCTTTCTGCTTAAATATAACTAATGCTTGTAACAGGATGTCTTGTGATTTCTGATTACACAATATTTCTGCAAAAAGTACATGCTAGTACTTCAGTAATGTATCTGAAAAAGCTCCATATAAATATCACTTATATCAATCAGAGAGATTGCAGCATATTTGAGTATCAACTTGAATATTTAAAAATTAAAATGTTATTAGTTCAGTGCCCATAAATAGCTGAATAATGGAGTATTTTGCATATATGTTTGTGCTTTTTAATTATATCTTGAGTATAGCAGTGTTACAGAGAAATTTTGCTTTATTGTGCTTCAAAAGATTTGAAGGGCAGGCCACAGAACTTCATCGGTTTACTCCTGTAACAGACCCATAACATCTGTCTGAATTACAGGCAGTCCCCGACTTATGTCGGATCCGTACTTATGTCGGATCCGTACTTACGAACGGGGCTTTTCTCGCCCCGGAGGACGCGAGCGGTGGGACCGCCCAGATGTGCCACGGTCCCGCCGCCCGCATCCTCCGCGGCGAGAAAAGCTGCTCTGCATCTCCTTGGTCTGCTGGGTGGCCCCCTCCAACAGACCAGGGAGACGCGGAGCAAAGCCGCGGAGGACGTGGGGGGCGGGACCGCGATGCGTCCCGCCACCCGCACCTCCCCCGCGCGCTCTGCC